GCGGTAGCCATACATTCTTAAATTCTCTCTCACACACACAGACCCCCCCTCTTCCCCCACCTTTTCCCCATCTTTCACACACAAAAAGTGGTAACATTAATGGAAGTCCAGGGCCTCAGTTGAACTTCCTAATTGCTTGTTCATTCCTAAGAATGTGCAAGGTTGGACAATTCTCATTCATTACTACTGTGTTATTTCTCTCTCTAGATTATTGGTCTGAAATTTGTCATTATTTGAAGCCCCACCCTGGCTCTTGCCAGGAGCCGCAATATAGCCAGGCCATAAATATGTCCTAATGGCTGAACGCGGTTTCTGGGACCTCTCCATGGGTAATCCTCATCCATATGGTGGCAGATTGTGTCATCAGGTGTAATGTCCTGGTGGGGTAGTAAGTCAGTCAGTCAGTCAGTCAAAACTAATAAATGCAGCCATAACAAAGGCTTGCCAGTCGGCCCAATGGTCTTTGTTTCAATCCTCATCCATATGGTGGCACATTGTGTCATCGGGTGTAATGTCCTGGTGGGGTAGTAAGTCAGTCAGTCAGTCAGTCAAAACTAATAAATGCAGCCATAACAAAGGCTTGCCTGCCGGCCCAATGCTCTTTGTTTCAATCCACATAGGGACGCATTTTGCATAGCTGACCAAGGATCTCAGGTTAACCCAGCCTAAAATGGCTGCCAAGAAATGTTCTGGAAGGTAAAGGTGGCTGGCATGATGATGACCACATCATCCATCGAGGACTGATATTAGTTGATAAAAATGTGGACTGTCAATTCGTCTTTTCAATTCGTCTTACGGTTTCTTTTGGCCTTGATAAAACCAACTCACACTATCAGTCCTCGATGGATGATGTGGTCATCATCATGCCAGCCACCTTTACCTTCCAGAACATTTCTTGGCAGCCATTTTAGGCTGGGTTAACCTGAGATCCTTGGTCAGCTATGCAAAATGCATCTCTATGTGGAGGCCGAAGCTGCTGGAATTGATTCCATCCATGATATTGCACGATTGCGCAGGATGGAACGAAATTGAGGAATAGAATGCAAGCCCTAAGTGACATATCACACTAAGCTTCAACCAACTCACCACTAATGAATATTTGCCCTCTGCACCACTGGCACTAAGCTTTAAGGCTCCAACTCACACTAAGCTTAAAACTCACACTAAGCTTCCGGGAGAAACTCACACTAAGCTTCAAGTCTGTGGCAAGCACACTAAGCTTCAACCAACTCACACTAAGCTTCAACCAAATAAACTCACACTAAGCTTCAACACTAACTCACACTAAGCTTTTAACCAACTCTCACTAACTAAGTCAACCAACTCACACTAAGCTTTAACCCACTCACTAACTTCAACCAACTCACACTAAGCTTCAACCAACTCACACTAAGCTTCACACAACCAACTCACACTAAGCTTCAACCAACTCACACTAAGCTTCAACCAACTCACACTAAGCTTTAACCAACTCACACTAAGCAGAAACCAACTCACACTAAGCTTTATCAACCAACCCACTAAGCTTCAACCAACTCACACTAAGCTTCAACCAACTCACACTAAGCTTCAACCAACTCACACTAAGCTTCAACCAACTCACACTAAGCTTCAACCAACTCACACTAAGCTTTAACCAACCCACTAAGCTTCAACCAACTCACACTAAGCTTCAACCAACTCACACTAAGCTTCAACCAACTCACACTAAGCTTCAACCAACTCACACTAAGCTTTAACCAACTCACACTAAGCTTCAACCAACTCACACTAAGCTTTAACCAACTCACACTAAGCTTCAACCAACTCACACTAAGCTTCAACCAACTCACACTAAGCTTCAACCAACTCACACTAAGCTTCAACCAACTCACACTAAGCTTTAATCAACTCACACTAAGCTTCAACCAACTCACACTAAGCTTTAACCAACTCACACTAAGCTTCAACCAACTCACACTAAGCTTTAATCAACTCACACTAAGCTTCAACCAACTCACACTAAGCTTCAACCAACTCACACTAAGCTTTAACCAACTCACCACTAAGCTTCACACTAAGCTTCAACCAACTCACACTAAGCTTCAACCAACTCACACTAAGCTTCAACCAACTCACACTAAGCTTTAACCAACTCACACTAAGCTTCAACCAACTCACACTAAGCTTCAACCAACTCACACTAAGCTTTAACCAACTCACACTAAGCTTCAACCAACTCACACTAAGCTTTAACCAACTCACACTAAGCTTCAACCAACTCACACTAAGCTTTAACCAACTCACACTAAGCTTTAACCAACTCACACTAAGCTTTCAACCAACTCACACTAAGCTTCAACAACTCACACTAAGCTTCAACCAACTCACACTAAGCTTTAACCAACTCACACTAAGCTTTAACCAACTCACACTAAGCTTCAACCAACTCACACTAAGCTTTAACCAACTCACTAAGCTTCAACCAACTCACACTAAGCTTTAACCAACTCACACTAAGCTTCAACCAACTCACACTAAGCTTCAACCAACTCACACTAAGCTTCAACCAACTCACACTAAGCTTCAACCAACTCACACTAAGCTTCAACCAACTCACACTAAGCTTCAACCAACCCACTAAGCTTCAACCAACCCACTAAGCTTCAACCAGCTCACACTAAGCTTCAAACAACTCACACTAAGCTTCAACCAGCTCACACTAAGCTTTAACCAACTCACACTACGCTTCAACCAACCCACTAAGCTTCAACCAACTCACACTAAGCTTCAACCAACCCACTAAGCTTCAACCAACTCACACTAAGCTTCAACCAACTCACACTAAGCTTCAACCAACTCACACTAAGCTTCTAACCAACTCACACTAAGCTTCAACCAACTCACACTAAGCTTCAACCAACTCACACTAAGCTTCAACCAACTCACACTAAGCTTCAACCAACTCACTAAGCTTTAACCAACTCACACTAAGCTTCAACCAGCTCACACTAAGCTTCAACCAACTCACACTAAGCTTTAACCAACTCACACTAAGCTTCAACCAACTCACACTAAGCTTCAACCAACTCACACTAAGCTTTAACCAACCCACTAAGCTTCAACCAACTCACACTAAGCTTTAATCAACTCACACTAAGCTTCCAAACCAACTCACACTAAGCTTCAACCAACTCACACTAAGCTTTAACCAACTCACACTAAGCTTCAACCAACTCACACTAAGCTTCAACCAACTCACACTAAGCTTCAACCAACTCACACTAAGCTTTAATCAACTCACACTAAGCTTCAAGCTTCAACTCACACTAAGCTTCAACCAGCTCACACTAAGCTTTAATCAACACACTAAGCTTTAATCAACTCACTAAGCTTCAATCAACTCACACTAAGCTTGAATCAACTCACACTAAGCTTTAACCAACTCACACTAAGCTTTAACCAACTCACACTAAGCTTTAACCAACTCACACTAAGCTTCAACCAACTCACACTAAGCTTCAACCAACTCACACTAAGCTTCAACCAACTCACACTAAGCTTCAACCAACTCACACTAAGCTTCAACCAACTCACACTAAGCTTTAACCAACTCACACTAAGCTTTAACCAACTCACACTAAGCTTCAACCAACTCACACTAAGCTTTAACCAACTCACACTAAGCTTCAACCAACTCACACTAAGCTTTAACCAACTCACACTAAGCTTCAACCAACTCACACTAAGCTTCACACTAAGCTTCAACCAACTCACACTAAGCTTTAACCAACTCACTAAGCTTCAACAACTAAGCTTTCAACCAACTCACTAAGCTTTAACCAACTCACACTAAGCTTCAACCAACTCACACTAAGCTTCAACCAACTCACACTAAGCTTTAATCAACTCACACTAAGCTTTAATCAACTCACACTAAGCTTTAATCAACTCACACTAAGCTTTAATCAACTCACACTAAGCTTTAATCAACTCACACTAAGCTTTAATCAACTCACACTAAGCTTTAATCAACTCACACTAAGCTTCAACCAAACCTAAGCTTCAACCACTAAGCTTCAACCAAACCAACTCACACTAAGCTTTCAACCAACTCACACTAAGCTTTAACCAACTCACACTAAGCTTTAACCAACTCACACTAAGCTTTAACAACAAAGCTTCAACCAACTCACACTAAGCTTCAACCAACTCACACTAAGCTTCAACCAACTCACACTAAGCTTTAACAACTCACACTAAGCTTCAACCAACTCACTAAGCTCACACTAAGCTAAGCACCAACCAACTCACACTAAGCTTTAACCAACTCACACTAAGCTTCAACCAACTCACACTAAGCTTCAACCAACTCACACTAAGCTTTAACCAACTCACACTAAGCTTCAACCAACTCACACTAAGCTTCAACCAACTCACACTAAGCTTCAACCAACTCACACTAAGCTTTAACCAACTCACACTAAGCTTAACCAACTCACACTAAGCTTCAACCAACTCACTAAGCTTTAACCAACTCACACTAAGCTTCAACCAACTCACACTAAGCTTCAACCAACTCACACTAAGCTTTAACCAACTCACACTAAGCTTCAACCAACTCACACTAAGCTTCAACCAACCCACTAAGCTTCAACCAACTCACACTAAGCTTTAACCAACTCACACTAAGCTTCAACCAACTCACACTAAGCTTCAAACCAACTCACACTAAGCTTCAACCAACTCACACTAAGCTTTCAACCAACTCACACTAAGCTTCAACCAACTCACACTAAGCTTTAACCAACTCACACTAAGCTTCAACCAACTCACACTAAGCTTCAACCAACTCACACTAAGCTTCAACCAACTCACACTAAGCTTCAACCAACTCACACTAAGCTTCAACCAACTCACACTAAGCTTTAACCAACCAAACCAACCAACTCACTAAGCTTCAACCAACTCACACTAAGCTTCAACCAACTCACACTAAGCTTCAACCAACTCACACTAAGCTTCAACCAACTCACACTAAGCTTCAACCAACTCACACTAAGCTTCAACCAACTCACACTAAGCTTCAACCAACTCACACTAAGCTTCAACCAACTCACACTAAGCTTCAACCAACTCACACTAAGCTTCCACCAACTCACACTAAGCTTCAACCAACTCACACTAAGCTTCAACCAACTCACACTAAGCTTCAACCAACTCACACTAAGCTTCAACCAACTCACACTAAGCTTCAAAGCTCACACAACCAACTCACACTAAGCTTCAACCAACTCACACTAAGCTTCAACCAACTCACACTAAGCTTTCAACCAACTCACACTAAGCTTCAACCAACTCACACTAAGCTTCAACCAACTCACACTAAGCTTCAAACAACTCACACTAAGCTTTAACCAACTCACACTAAGCTTCAACCAACTCACACTAAGCTTCAACCAACTCACACTAAGCTTCAACCAACTCACACTAAGCTTCAACCAACTCACACTAAGCTTCAACCAACTCACACTAAGCTTCAACCAACTCACACTAAGCTTCAACCACTCACACTAAGCTTCAACCAAACTCAGCACAACTCACTAAGCTTTCAACCAACTCACACTAAGCTTCAACCAACTCACACTAAGCTTCAAACACTCACACTAAGCTTCAACCAACTCACACTAAGCTTCAACCAACTCACACTAAGCTTCAACCAACTCACACTAAGCTTCAACCAACTCACACTAAGCTTCAACCAACCCACTAAGCTTCAACCAACTCACACTAAGCTTCAACCAACCCACTAAGCTTCAACCAACTCACACTAAGCTTCAACCAACCCACTAAGCTTCAACCAGCTCACACTAAGCTTCAACCAACTCACTAACACACTAAGCTTCAACCAACTCACACTAAGCTTCAACCAACACACACTAAGCTTCAACCACTCACACACTAAGCTTCAACCAACTCACACTAAGCTTCAACCAACTCACACTAAGCTTCAACCAACACACTAAGCTTCAACCAACTCACACTAAGCTTCAACCACCAACTCACTAAGCTTCAACCAACTCACACTAAGCTTCAACCAACTCACACTAAGCTTCACTCACTAAGCTTCAACCAACTCACACTAAGCTTCAACCAACTCACACTAAGCTTCAACCAACTCACACTAAGCTTTAACCAACTCACACTAAGCTTCAACCACACTCACACTAAGCTTCAACCAACTCACACTAAGCTTCAACCAACTCACACTAAGCTTCAACCAAGCACACTAAGCTCAACCAACACACTCACACTAAGCTTCAACCAACCCACTAAGCTTCAACCAACTCACACTAAGCTTCAACCAACTCACACTAAGCTTCAACCAACTCACACTAAGCTTCAACCAACTCACACTAAGCTTTAACCAACTCACACTAAGCTTCAACCAACTCACACTAAGCTTCAACCAACTCACACTAAGCTTCAACCAACTCACACTAAGCTTCAACCAACTCACACTAAGCTTCAACCAACTCACACTAAGCTTCAACCAACTCACACTAAGCTTCAACCAACTCACACTAAGCTTCAACCAACTCACACTAAGCTTTCAACTCACACTAAGCTTCAACCAACTCACACTAAGCTTCAACCAACCCACTAAGCTTTAACCAACTCACACTAAGCTTCAACCAACTCACCTAAGCTTCACCACCAAGCTTCAACCCACTCACACTAAGCTTCAAACCAACTCACACTAAGCTTCAACCAACCAACTCACACTAAGCTTCAACCAACTCACACTAAGCTTTAACCAACTCAACTCAACACTAAGCTTCAACCCACTCACACTAAGCTTCAAACCAACTCACACTAAGCTTCAACCAACTCACACTAAGCTTCAACCAACTCCACTAAGCTTTAACCAACTCACACTAAGCTTCAACCTAACTCACACTAAGCTTCAACCAACTCACACTAAGCTTCAACCAACTCACACTAAGCTTCAAACCAACTCACACTAAGCTTCAACCAACTCACACTAAGCTTCAACCAACTCACACTAAGCTTTAACCAACTCACACAGCTAAGCAACTCACACTAAGCTTCAACACTCACACTAAGCTTCAACCAACTCACACTAAGCTTAACCAAACCACTAAGCTCAACCACACACTAAGCTTCAACCAACTCACACTAAGCTTTAACCAACTCACACTAAGCTTCAACCAACTCACACTAAGCTCAACCAAACCAACTCACACTAAGCTTCAACCAACTCACACTAAGCTTCAACCAACTCACACTAAGCTTCAACCAACTCACACTAAGCTTTAACCAACTCACACTAAGCTTCAACCAACTCACACTAAGCTTCAACCAACTCACACTAAGCTTCAACCAACTCACACTAAGCTTCAACCAACTCACTAAGCTTTAACCAACTCACACTAAGCTTCAACCAACTCACACTAAGCTTCAACCAACTCACACTAAGCTTCAACCAACTCACACTAAGCTTCAACCAACTCCACTAAGCTTCAACCAGCTCACACTAAGCTTTCAACCAACTCACACTAAGCTTCAACCAACTCACACTAAGCTTTAACCAAACCAGCTTCAACCAACTAAGCTTTAACCAACTCACACTAAGCTTCAACCAACTCACACTAAGCTTCAACCAACTCACACTAAGCTTCAACCAACTCACACTAAGCTTCAACCAACTCACACTAAGCTTCAACCAACTCACACTAAGCTTTAACCAACTCACACTAAGCTTCAACCAACTCACACTAAGCTTCAACCTAAACTCACACTAAGCTTCAACAACCAACTCACACTAAGCTTCAACCAACTCACACTAAGCTTCAACCAACTCACACTAAGCTTTAACCAACTCACACTAAGCTTCAACCAACTCACACTAAGCTTTAACCAACTCACACTAAGCTTCAACCAACTCACACTAAGCTTCAACCAACTCACACTAAGCTTCAACCAACTCCCACTAAGCTTCAACCAACTCACACTAAGCTTTCAAACCAACTCACACTACGCTTCAACCAACTCACACTAAGCTTCAACCAACTCACACTAAGCTTCAACCAACTCACACTAAGCTTCAACCAACTCACACTAAGCTTCAACCAACTCACACTAAGCTTCAACCAACTCACACTAAGCTTTAACCAACTCACACTAAGCTTCAACCAACCCACTAAGCTTCAACCAACTCACACTAAGCTTTAACCAACTCACACTAAGCTTCAACCAACTCACACTAAGCTTCAACCAACTCACACTAAGCTTCAACCAACTCACACTAAGCTTCAACCAACCCACTAAGCTTCAACCAACTCACACTAAGCTTCAACCAACCCACTAAGCTTCAACCAGCTCACTAAGCTTCAACCAACTCACTAAGCTTCAACCAACCCACTAAGCTTCAACCAACCCACTAAGCTTCAACCAACTCACACTAAGCTTCAACCAACTCACACTAAGCTTCAACCAGCTCACACTAAGCTTCAAACCAACTTCACACTCACACTAAGCTTCAACCAACTCACACTAAGCTTCAACCAACCCACTAAGCTTCAACCAACCCACTAAGCTTCAACCAGCTCACACTAAGCTTCAACCAACTCACACTAAGCTTCAACCAACCCACTAAGCTTCAACCAACCCACTAAGCTTCAACCAACTCACACTAAGCTTCAACCAACTCACACTAAGCTTCAACCAACTCACACTAAGCTTCAACCAACTCACACTAAGCTTCAACCAACTCACACTAAGCTTCAACAACCAACTCACACTAAGCTTCAACCAACTCACACTAAGCTTCAACCAACTCACACTAAGCTTCAACCAACTCACACTAAGCTTTCAACCTAAGCTTCAACCAACACTAAGCTTCAACCAACTCACACTAAGCTTCAACCAACTCACACTAAGCTTTCAACCAACTCACACTAAGCTTCAACCAACTCACACTAAGCTTCAAACCAACTCACACTAAGCTTCAACCAACTCACACTAAGCTTTAACCAACTCACACTAAGCTTCAACCAACTCACACTAAGCTTCAAACCAACTCACACTAAGCTTTCAACCAACTCACACTAAGCTTCAACCAACTCACACTAAGCTTCAACCAACTCACACTACGCTTCAACCAACTCACACTACGCTTCAACCAACTCACACTACGCTTCAACCAACTCACACTACGCTTCAACCAACTCACACTAAGCTTTAACCAACTCACACTAAGCTTAACCAACCAAAGCTCACACTAAGCTTCAACCAACTCACACTAAGCTCACACTAACCAACTCACACTAAGCTTTCACACTAAACACACTACTTCAACACTAAAGCTTCAACCAACTCACACTAAGCTTCAACCAACTCACACTAAGCTTCAACCTAAGCTTTAACACTAAGCTTCAACCAACTCACACTAAGCTTCAACCAACTCACACTAAGCTTCAACCAACTCACACTAAGCTTCAACCAACTCACACTAAGCTTCAACCAACTCACACTAAGCTTCAACCAACTCACACTAAGCTTTAACCAACTCACACTAAGCTTCAACCAACTCACACTAAGCTTTAACCAACTCACACTAAGCTTCAACCAACTCACACTAAGCTTCAACCAACTCACTAAGCTTTAACCAACTCACACTAAGCTTCAACCAACTCACACTAAGCTTCAACCAACTCACACTAAGCTTTAACCAACTCACACTAAGCTTCAACCACTCACACTAAGCTTCACCAACTCACCTAACTCAACCACTAAGCTTAACCAACTCACACTAAGCTTCAACCAACTCACACTAAGCTTCAACCAACTCACACTAAGCTTCAACCAAACACAGCACTAAGCAACTCAACTAAGCTTCAACCAACACTAAGCTTCACCAACTCACACTAAGCTTCAACCAGCTCACACTAAGCTTTAACCAACTCACACTAAGCTTCAACCAACTCACACTAAGCTTCAAACCAACTCACACTAAGCTTCTAAGCTTCAACCAACTCACACTAAGCTTTAACCAACTCACACTAAGCTTTCAACTCAACCACACTAAGCTTCAACCACTCACACTAAGCTTTAACCAACTCACACTAAGCTTCAACCAACTCACACTAAGCTTCAACCAGCTCACACTAAGCTTCAACCAGCTCACACTAAGCTTCAACCAGCTCACACTAAGCTTTAACCAACCCACTAAGCTTCAACTAACTCACACTAAGCTTCAATCAACTCTGATAGTCCCTGACTGACAGAGGACTGGAACAGAACAAGGCTAAAAAGAGAACTGCTGATAGAGAAGTCTGGCAATCTCTCTAGCAAAACTAAGCACCTCAGGGTAAATGAGGGTAGACTAAGTAAG